TAATGAAAAACACAACAAACGTGTACAGAATGCAATTATCTTTTTCCTCTTTTTTTCATATCTAAAAATAGAAATTGCTAGAACTTTACATTCACTACTTTATAATATTCATTATTAAAGATTAAAGCACATAAAATTTTTCACCTAATATCAAAACAATTCAAATCAATTGGTGAATTTGTCGATAACATCTTTTTAAAATCATATTTAGATATTTTCGTTTTAATTGTGATATTATATCGATTACTGCCAAAAGTCTGAGTTTTTGTTGTACTTATACATATGTAATGTCAAGACACTTCAAAATCTACCACCGGTGTTTCACAACGGTGTGTCCTATCGTGAGTACTGATTTATTTCCGACTTAGATAGCGCAGGACTAAAACACGACTGAACTTTCGCGATTAATAAGGCAGATAGCGGTAAGTGAAGTAATTCAGCCGTTGTGGAAATACGTGACGAGTAAATGTCAGTGTGTAGTTCCTGAATAGTACTGACTTGGGTAATATATTTCCGGGAATATTATTATCTAAGATCAATGTTACGTATATTTATTTGACTGCCGTATTTTACGCTACTTAGTGGCAGATATATAAAAGTCACAAAGGTGTGGAATTAATCATGAAATTGATATAATCTTTAAATGCATAATAATTAGCGGTAGTGTACGATAAAAATTAATGTTACTGTTGAATTTAATTTAATTTAAAATGCATCATTATATATATATATATATATATATATATATATATAATATTATACAATATACAACAAAAATACAGAATTGAACATGAATATTTTCTAATCTATATATAAATCCACGGTTTATATAAAAATTAAATATTTTTTAATTATCATGCAAAAAGAAAATAAATGTTTAATAAAAAAACATGATAACCTGATTAGATGAATTAGATAAAATTTGCGCAATATTACATCTATATCATTATATTAAATGAAAACTCCGTATTTTACCGATTATCATCAAAGAAATCGAGATCAAATTTTATAGAACAGAATTCATAATTAATGTGCTGTATAATCAAAATTAATGTCATGTCTAATACAGAAACAACTCGATCTTGATACGATCGAATCTGATACAAGTATCTTAGACAGAAAAGTAAACGTCAATATACCATATGTATAGTTCAGTATGAGTGAGAGTCTAAGGCCTTACATCAATGTTTAACTTTAAGCAAGGCTTAAAATTCTCTCTCTCTCTCTCTATTTTTCTTTTAGCTTTAAAAAGAGTCAAGCCTTGCTTAAAATCAAAGTAACGTTAGTGCAATCGAGCCTAAGTTTCTACAAAAACTTTCCTCCAATCTTCGCGTGACTCAACTTACTTCGAAGAGATCATGCTTGCTTTTTTAGACCTTATGATACGTGAGAACAAAGCCTATCGACATGTTCCACTTCTGGTTCTTCGGACGAAAGCGACCTGACCTTTATATCTTTTTCGGGAATCTGCATACGAAACTGTGTATCTAATACGCTGCTATCATTTTACTGTATAAATAATATACTATATGAATAATCTCTGAATAATTCTCTATTCGTAATTAGAACTGTCGGTAATTATGATCGGTTTGTTCGATAAGTACAGTCGATTTAGTTAATTTAGTGTATTTAACAGATTAATCATTCTACAAATTTACTCCCTATAATATAACGCGTAAATTGTTTTGACAGATAATACCAACCAAAGATTTAGTTAGTAATAAATTTGAAAATCGCAGCTCATAACTGATACGTTGTTGTGCTTCAGCGGCTTTGTATCGATAAATCATAGGAAAGCGAATCGCGCGTCCGGTTATTTTGTCTCGTTCATCAATGCGTTACGGTTTCCACCGCGACGTTAATTATGTAATTCGTGAGAATTACGCTAGGCCAGTGGAGTTTCCGTTTTAAGACAGTCCACCATTTTCTCACAGATCGCCGTGACGAAACTCTGTTAAAAGACCGCGCGTCGTAAGAAGAAGCGTATCCCCCGTAAACGAAGATCGCAGTGCGAAATTATCGGAAGGAAATTTTCATCGTAAACCTTCGCTGTAAACCGCGAACTTGGATGGAACGCACTTGCGATCCCACTTATCCCCGGTATGGTGAATGGAGCTCGTTACATCAATTACGGCATCTTCTTTTACTCTCAAGAATATTGTGCGCGCGCACGCATCCTCGAAACGTTGCTTCGTTGTTGCGTCCCGTTTGTAACAAGTTTCGAAAGGAAACTTAGTAACCGCGAGAGCGAAAAAATTTGGTGAACGGTTTGCCACGACGTACATATATCTACGTATGGTGTCGGATAACGCTTTCCTTCGACCGCGGATTTCACGAGATAGCCTTTCTTGCTCTATTCTATGTTCTAGAATTTATATCGAACGATGCCAAACTTTGTTCGCCTTCGATTTAGAGATTTATATCAACCTTTCTCTAGTGAAAATATTAAATCTTAATCGCGATTCTCTTCAGATAAGTACTTGAAATATACAGCCGTAAGTATAAAGCCATAAGTATAAACCTTCAATTTATTGCATCTTTCTGGAAAAATTAGTAATAAAAGTCAAAGGAGAATTAATAAAATATTAAAATTGTTATAAAAGAAAATGTTACTTTTCAATAAAATTGCTTTTAATTTATTTTTTGTTAGATATATGTTAGAAAACGTTTACTTGTAAAACGTTAATTTGTAGACGTGCTTTATACTTATGACCCGAGTAGGCCTTAGTTTACTAGTTTTTTCTACAAGAATTGTGACTCTAGGGCCAACTGAGATAACAGACTACAAGAGTCTAGCGTGAGATTAAAATATGCGAATGCATGACTGTTGCATGTACGGGAGATTTTTGCACACGCGAGACAGTTGCACGAACGACACTCCGGGCGTTAGTCTAATTTGAGTGCGAGGTGACTACACGATCTAGCGAGTTTCGCGAGCACGCGAGATCCTTCGCTACACGGAACCACGAGAACTTGTTTAATATCTTTTATATCTCGACTTTTGGTTTTTGTCCGTTACATTCGTTCAAAATCATAAACACGTACGTTATCTGGTGTAAACGTGAGAGCAATATCTTTCTTATGTTATTTTGTTGCGAAACGTGTAAAGATTGCCTCAGCACAAAAGAATTAAAAAAGTTCGTAGAGATTGCCAGTAATATTTCGTAAAAACACAAGGAATTATTCATTATAATTGAATAAAGGAGAAGATAGAAGTTAATCCTAAAGTCCGAAGTATTACACGGTCGCGATTATTTTTACAATACGATCATTATACGGGATCTTTTATCTGTATCCGGATTTTTAGGAGGAATTAAATTTTTTTTTGCAAGTTATATTGTAAGTTTATAAAAGGAAAAGACATTATGTGCTTTATGCATTCTTAATTTTTCTTTAAGAAACCATCGCGTGTGTTCTTAATTTTTCTTTTAATTAGAAGATATAAATAAAAAATGAACCCGGGCTGTTGCTATCCTGCTTTATTCTATATCACATGTGAATTCTATTTTTACTCTTATTCCTATTCTCTAAATTCTTTGAAATGGAATTTCACTCTAGAGTGAAAATTGAGTCAGTCTTAAAAAAGAGTAGCTCAAATTTCACTCTTCAGAGTGAGCTTTTACTCTAAAAGTTTTTAGAGTACTATTATATTTTTAAATCAGCATTGTTTCCTCTTTTCCTCAAACACTTGTCTCACTATCGTTTACAAAAACATGTGTATATGATATTAGAACACAGTTGCTAGTTTTCAATTAATGTTCCACTGGAAATTAACGAATCTCTACTATAATTCCCACTGTCTTTATCAAAAGTATTACCGTTTTGTAATGCTCTAAAAAAAATCCCTAAAAAAGACCATAAGAGATTTAACTTGCCTGCTGAAGATTTCTTTTCCAAACTAGAAGAAAATCGATGTGTGTACATAAAAAGAGATTCATTATGTATCAAAATTTGGAATAGATTAACTGGAGAACTGAATGTTCGTTCAAAAAGTCGGAGTTTCTAACCGAAAATCAGAGAGGTAGCAATGATGACTAGAATACATATATGTATAATGTGTAAATGTAAATGTGTGCTAACGTCCACATTATAGCTTAGATCCGTGGATTCGCTAAACCCAAACGACTGTGTAGATCAGTCATTCCTGCGGGAGCACGCATGTTTAGATGAGACACGGCGGCAGAGTTTCATCTCGAGTGCGGGATGAGAAGAGCGCAACTCCGCCATGCGAGATTATGTGAAATCGATAACATTGTTTTCCTTCGTTTGGCATTTTATTCACGCTGGCACACGGCCTTATTACAAGAACGGTGCATTAGCATAAGACTTCACAGAGCTGCCCGCGCGCTATCGATCCTACTGATAACTGACTCTCGCGAAATTCTTCCGGAGTCTCCGCATGTGAACGAGGACGCGCTCCCGATAAGCTTCTGTCCATATCCTGTGTGTGCCATCCCGCTAAATTTCCAACTGTATCCTTTCCGCATCGATAAGCGCACAGAAATGTGCTTATCGATGCCCCAGAATATCGGAGATTAGCATATTGCACGCCACTCGTTCAAACATTTCAGTAAGCGTACCGTTGCTTATTGAAAATGTAAAATGCATGTAAGACATATTAACTTCAAAAGTCCATCTCAATTATTACGTACGAGTATGTATTTAAGAAATTGTTAAGTCTGAATCGAGGATTTGTTTTATTACGATATTTCTCTAATTATTCTCAAAATTTAAAAGTAATTATTGACAATAGAAAAGAGTATCTATAATTAAGAAAAGTTTAATTTTAATTAGCAGTTCATTTCAATTTCTTTTTAAACGTACATTTAAAATTAGCAGATTATACGGCGCGTATGTAAAGAAGTCGTTTGTCATCATCTCTGTACTAAAACGAATTGCATAATTCGCGACGAAGTAACGTATGCCGTGAATATGTTCATGACGAAAAGTGTGTCTCGTGCTTCACGATGCGCTACTAATTAAGGATTATTATCAACGATGGCAGCAAAACCGTGGCTTATGAATACAATGATCTTTCTAACGAATATATCTCATCAGACTGTTTACGCGTGAGTCTCTTCGCGATTTAGCAATTTACGATCTGCTTAATTATATGTGCATTTATTTTAATTAAAATAGTAATAATACTGCGGTTATATATTATTTTAATTAATTTTTATTATATATATGTGTACAATTATTATTGTGATATTTTCTTTTTGCAGGCAAGAACAATGACCCGCTGGTTTTGGTGTTTGCTGTGCGTGATTTTATATCTCAGGAACGTTCATTCTAAAGTCGGTAAGTAATCAATTGCTTATTTCTTTAATTGTTGTCGAAAACATCCTTTTAATCTTTTGCATTTCAAGTTATTTTTAATAACTAAATGAAGCTCAAATATTTCGTTCTCAATTTTATTTAATATTAGAACTGCCAAAGGCCGCTGTTTCATCTGTCCGTTTTTGTCATACGACAAATTTTTCGAGCTTATTGATTGGTTATAGAATAGACAAATCGAGAACCTCTTTGCACTCATTTGTCATATGACAAATGCATAAATGAAATAGCACTCAAAGGTGACAACTTTCTATCCTTGCTATTTTAGCTGAATACTTATTTCAGCATTATTTATACCGTCAGAATTATTTATTATATTGTGTTTTTTTAATTATGTCCACATATTTTCAATACTCTGTACTGATATATATATATATATATATATATATATATATATATATAAAATATAAAGTAGAAAAAGTTAAAATGATTAACTAAAATGGCATTTTTATAACGACTTTAGTGAATAATTTGATCCAACATGAATAAATTTTTATTATTCAAAGAATTTTTCCTTTCAATCATTTCCTTCGAAATAATTAAGTTTATCAAAAATATAGTTGTCGATTACAATCAGATTAAATGTTTGAAAAGCTGTGCAATAAACTATTTCCAAGCATTATATTAAAAACAATGAAAGATCACAAAGGGTTAATAACGTAACTGAAAATTTTTAAAAATTCTGCAAAGACTGCACGTCTCTCGAAACGTTCCCTCGGCTGTTGCAAACGGAATAAAATAAAGTAACGACGCGTAAAAGTCAATCACAGTCGGACTGTGGCTTCCCACACGCGTAAATCTATCTCAGCTGATTGGCAATTACTTATGTCACGGTTGATGATGTAAGTTCTGTTTTATCGTTGACGCCGGGCATAAACGCGCGCGCGGATCAACGGCACGCGCGGAGGTGTGAGCTCTACCTCTATGGCTTTTATTATCGTATCGCGAAGCGATCTGTATCGCTTATATCTAAGTTACATCGATACGAATTGCGAGCCCGCATTATTCATACTTCTCAACCGCGTCAATCGATTTACCGCCGTTACGTAATTAAGTACTTTAATCATCCATACGTCTCGCGAGTACTCGATGCAACTCTCATTTTATGCGAGCAAGCTTCTTTTTTTATTTTATGATCGTAAAAGGAGAATATTAAATGCAAGTTTTACGGAGATCTACGAGAAATTGATAAACTTGGTAAGCCATGGCGAACACGATGAACGACTACATATGCAGATAGAGAGAAGATGTAGGTACGTGAGAGAGAATGGTGTGTAAACGGCTTAGCGGGATAAAACGTACATTCCGACGTGATAATTCGCATTGCCTGTAAACGAAAGATAGGCGCGGCGTTTATAAAGCGACGGTTTAACTTGGAAAAAAAAACCCATGATTCATCGCAAACCGAAGGTGGTGTTTTACGAGCATTTGGCAAAAAAGATAACCTGCTAATTAACGAACATCTGCTTCCTGCATTGTCTTGTATGAATGATTCCTGTTCGAATAATCGGTCCATTTTCTTCAACTACGCTTCTTACATCACCCGTATAAAACGTAATAATTACATATCCGACCTTTAAATATAATTTTTTTCAGACGTTCATATTTTACTGTTCAATCAATACGAATCAGCTGTTAACTTCCATTTTAGTTTACACGTTACAGATTGTTTTCTTTTACGTAAGACGATACACACATACAGTCTCGCGAAAATCCAGATGATACGAAACTTTTTCCAATACATGCACGCAGTAGAGTACAATTTTCTTCGTAATGGATTTGACGTTAAAAAAGAGGAAAAAAAATTCCCGACGAAGTCGGCACCGCCTGTAACTTTCAGTATCGATTCCCACGACACCGAACTCGATCGTATATATACCCGGGTTATTTTATAGCCAGCTTCGTTAATGGCACGCTGCCAGATTCCACGATACTTCGATTTCAATGCGTATTACGTTATATGTTCATAATTTAAGCGATTATCAAAGATTAACAATTGAATAAATAAAGCATTAAATTCATCTCAAGGACCCATAAAAATCTATATATAACGCTGACAAATTATATGAGATCATGAACTAAGCGAAGATGATTGTATATCGATTGTATATCAATGGATCATTTAGAAACTTCACAGAATAGATGTAGGATGCGTTGTTCGCGCGCGAATGGGAAATGTAGGTCGCTATCGACATGATGTCTTTCATTCTCCTACTACAGTATACACTTTCTAATGTCGTGATCACTTTCTATGCGGGAAGAAATGATCGGGGTTCGCCGGTAGTGGCCTGCTGTCACGTAAGATTTACGCAGAGAGACTTTACGAGGGCTCGGCAGGGAATGTTGCGCGTGACTGGTCGGACGATGACGAATGTTGGTGTGTAAATTGCACGATTTCGCAATGTGACGAACGATATGCGAAAACGTATGATATTGAGCGAAGAAATCGTGTGAACTATATTATCTATCCAAACTCTAAGTTTTAGTTGATTAATTATGTTAATTAATGTTGATTAATTATGGTAATTATGTTAATTAGAACTGTTACAAATACTTTTTCGTATGTAAATAATAAGATTAAGATATGAATAATAAGTATTGATAAAAGATAAAATCAATTTGTCAATTAAATATAAATGGATAAGCTAGGTGTACAAATAAGTTTCCGCCGTTTTTTATCGATAAACGGCGCAATTATTTAGTGAACAATCAATACTCAGATATTGGATTGATGTTTTCTTTATTTTGAACGTTTCGACTCTCTTTGGAGTCCTCCTCAGCAAGAATGATACAAGTATAATTAATTTACATGTCCATAATGTCCATAAATGACTCGCAAATTGACAAAGATGCAGCGTTATTAATCATCACAGAACATAAAGCATTGTACTGAAGCTTTATTGAACATATTAAAACTTAAAAAGTAGAATTGTTAAAATCAAATATAAAGATCACACATTTTTAGAACACACGTCCGTGTACGACGACGTGTCACTCAGATATGAGGAGGACTCCAAAGAGAGTCGAAACGTTCAAAATAAAGAAGACATCAATTCAATATCTGAGTATTGATTGTTCATTAAATAATTGCGCCATTTATCGTTGCTGACCCTCAACTTATTATATTTATCTTTTTGTATTGTTTAAAATTCGAGAGTCCTAATATAATTATTGTTATTGATTAAATTTAAAGATTAAACTTTTCTCTGCAGAATTTACTACATTACTAATTTTATCGCCTTTTATTAAATATATTCTAACTGTAGAAATATATTTTTTCTTTTCTTCATATACTCGTATTTCAATAAATTTCAATTTGCCATAAATTCCAAATAGTTTGCTCTCTTAATAATTACTATTCTGTGTTCTTACTGCGTAATGTCTATATAAATCAATGACTAAATCGATCAATAATACGTTGATAATAACAAGCTCTATTCCATGACTTTTGTATATATATATATATATATATATATATCTACAATGGATCGATAGATGGTTGCACGTGTTCTGGGATTAAATATTTATGTCCATTTGTGCTAGCCCATCCATTTCAAAGCAATGTCTGGAATGTGAAATGTTATATCTAATTGTAATATTCACAGATCCATTAGCTCACTTTAAATAAAAAGAAAACACATTCACTAATATGATATTCTGCTATCTGATGAATTTAAACCTCTTAGACCTCATTCCTCTATTATATACAATCATGAGGCAATACTCGCGAAAACGCAATCGAGCGCAAAATTAATTATATCCTCTGAGTATTCTCTGTCATATAAGCTATAAATATGATTCAACACGATTCGCATATCATATTCGTGCTCTGCAGCGATCATTGAAAGCGATAAAATAGATACTTTCAAATTATTAAATAATTCGATCAAACGTTAAATTCGGAAAATGTATTCAATTTCAAATATTCTTTTAAAAATAAATTACCATTCGATAAACAAATCACGACAAAACGTAATTAATTAGAATTTGAATCCTTTTTTCACTTCGATCCTCATCTATAAGTCATATAAAACACGTACGAACTATTATTTACGAATTTCAAAAGTCACTTACAATCAGTCGCAAAGATAAATAATTTAATGAGTAATAAAATATCATTCTAATATTTATGGTATTTATCTAATACTTATTGCATCACATTTCGAGACAATACAATATTAACGATTATACACGGAGCGACTAGCAGAGGTACCTTTTCATGGAGTTGTCGGTATAGAAATGATAGCATGGTGACCTTTAACTCGGCGCGGCGTACGCGACACTTGAATGTGTGACGAAAACAATGCTGTGCCCTGCCAATCATTTCATTACTAATACTTTATTCGCTTTAAATATGGCATTATAAAATTAACGTATACTGAATATTTTGTCTTTTACATTTCGATGAACAGATTATTATTATCGCATGCTTTGCACTTCGTTTTATAAATTTGTTAACTACTTCGCTTTATGAATAGCATCACTTATAAATAATTATAACATTCAATTGAGAGTTTTAGAATAGAAATATTATAACGTTATTTATCTCAATTCTAAAAATATGTAGCTTTATTAATAAAATGTGTGATATCAATGTATGATAGTATTTTAAACTAGATATATTATAACTTTACTATGTCTCACAATCAGGAGCAATGTCTTAGATTCTAAAAATATGTAATTTCATTAATAAAATATAAATGTGTAATAACAAATTTTATACAAATGCATTTAATCGTTTTTAAAAATTAGAACAGTTAATTAATTACTCAATTTCAAAGATATCATTAAATCGATTGTATAATTAGGATAATAAAACTTATATATCCTTGTATTAATAAAAAAATTATATCTGTTACCATTTATATTATATCTTTTACTAAATTTTTAATATTAAAAATTAATACAATTGCAAAATTATATTTATAAAATAAATTTCAAAATTAAAATTTCATTTATTAATGCACATTAAATAAATATCTAAGTTTATTATACAATACAATATTTCACTTTTAATTGTAAAGCGAAACTTGTATCCAAACTTGAACCAAACAGATTCACAACGTCACTCGTTTCGCAGCTGATCCATTCCGCGTCCGCCGCTTTCTGTGACTGATACATGACAGTTGATAAGGTGTCATAGCGTCAATCGCATTTTGCGCGCCAAAATCAGCGTCGCGCGCAACACTACGCGCTTGCTGCTAACTTCGCATTCATGTAACTTCGCGTTTATTTTTCGTATTTCGGACAACGAATAATTCACTCTCTTTTCATGGCGATTATTATTTTACATTACAACACAAGTTAAATATAAAACTTGAAATTGAAAATAGAAATCTGCGATACTTATATAGAAATATGTGCGTATTATTTAACTGTTTGCACGATGGATTTTTCGATCAAAAAAATCTCGTAAAATATTCTAACGGATTATCATGTACGTCAAATTTATGTTACGTGCTATTATTTATTCTAAAGGTCTTGTGTAATACATAAAAATGCTGAAAATATAAGATTTAAACAGTAAGATTCTTTAATAAAGAAATCAACATGTTAGATTCGCTCTGCATGCTCATGTTATGATCTTATAGTCTGCATTGTGATTGCTCGCTTACTGCATAAGTCTTATGTCTTAATTTTTTCTATGTGCCATGGCCTTAAGAAGGTACAAGGAAGATAATCAAATGGTGTTGCAGGATTGATACAAATTTTGCTTACCAAAAAGAGTTACTCATCGCGACGTTACTCGTTCCGCAACCGATTCGTTCCGTGCCCGAACTGCGAATGAAGCGTAATTAAACTAGATGACGCCGCGCAGTAACGTTAGTTGCGCGGTCAATTTAAAAAATAACGCTACTTTAATAATACACTTTATCCGGGATACATCCTAGGGATGTCATTAGGATGTTCAAAGAACATACGGATGTCCTTTGGACGTCTTCAGGATGTCCCCTGGAGGCTGTTAGGATACGTTTTACTCTTAATTTTGCGTTCGTGCATTTTTTGCATTTTGGACAATGCAGTTAAATAGTACACATATTTTTTTCTATAATAAGATAAATTTATATAAAATATTTTATTGTTTTATTTTAAATTAATTTTGATATTCAATTATTTTATACCTAAAGCTTTTTTTTTGTGTGGACCCGTCAAACTAATTTCATTTGATTGAAAGCTTAATAGTAATATCATTATTAAATTATAATACTTCATTTTGATTCGATGCCAATAACAAGAGGCTTGATTGTATATCTTTGATTTATTAAAATTTCATAATTTTATTTTTCTTTTAAAATCTAAAAAATATGCAAACGTTATAAGGTAACTTCTATATTTTTTTTGCTAATTCAAAAATTTCTCAAGAACATTAGGTTTATTGAAATTCTTTTTCACGCTTTTCACGCTAAAGAAAATTATTAGGTAACTAATCATCTAAAATTTTATGAAAATTATGTTGAAGAAAAGACTATGACCAAAAAAAGTAAAAAAATTCTGACAAGATTAAGATAATAATAATGAAATAAACGGCATCAAGTTGTAACGCGTATACGATGTAATAAGAAATATTAATTTGTTTTTGAATTCAGCTCTTAAAAAAATTGTTAATGTCATAATGTTGTTCTTTTATTTAGCTTAACTACCGTAACAAGGATAATTAAGTCAGGAAAGAGCGTGTTGTAAAACGTAAGACTATCATGTTATATCGCAAATCATTTTGCATCGTATAATGAACCCATGTATGCATCGGTAATGTCAGTAATTAGACTCTCATATTCATTAATGTGCAATCCGATTAATTTATCCGGTCTGCAAAATCTCACGACAAAAATCAATCGTCGACCGGTCCTTTTCGTAACACAGCTGGCGTACTTGTCGAGGAATCTTCCTTCCTGATGAGAACATTTTGCGCGTCACGTTTCCGGTCATGCCGATTTCTCGCATCTGTCTGAAAGAGCGCGGGTGTGTTGGTGAGCTCTGAGAATTAATGACATGCAGAAATTGCGCATCAGTTGCGTGCTGATCTCGATAGGGTGTCATAATTGCAAGTATATGGAAGGGAAGTAAATTTATCTGTGAGTGAGTTATCTGCAAGTCTATCCTTCGTTTGCAGTCTGAGTCTTTTTTTATACAAGCAAAATTTTACTCTTAAATTTGTCCGAAATAAAAATCCGGTGTCTCCTCTTAAAATATCTTATTAAAAAATTATTTAGTGATATAATAAAGATGTTGAAAGTAATCCTAATTCCTTCCATGTGTTTGAAAAGAATAGTAAAAAACAAATTGCAGGCAAAGTGAATAAAAATATGATGGAGAGTTAAATTTTTGTCTTATCAAATTAAATATAGTATTAAAATACTGAAATATTTAAAACCTTCTACTTTCTACTTGCACCTGCGAGGAAAGTCCCTGGGCTTTACTTGAACGAGCGGCAATCAATTACTTCACGCCTTTTTATCATTCACAATTAGTTTTACCAACACGCAAACGAAAGAGAGACAGTTAGAACATTCTGTTCATACACGCTACGAAAAATGATATAGCATTCCTATCGTAGAAATATGTATAGTCATAACGATTTGCTTTATTACTCGACTGACTGCTCTAGTTGAATGAACTTTAAATGCTTCAAAGTCCGTGAAAAAGCGTTTATATATTTGCTATTCAGATAATCACACGAATAATTATAAGTAATAGTTGTCATTACTATCTTGAACAGCTATTAAGTCATTGTGTTTCAGTCTCCATCCACATACACATACACATTTTTTTAAATTCACAAGATATTACATTTTTTATATTATATTATAAATACGAAATAAATCTCATTTTGAATCATTATAAAATAAAATATTAATATTGCACATATCTTGTAATAAAAAACATAAGCAGTAATAAACGGTCAAATCTTTTAGAGACCGTTTTGTAAATTATTTTATATATTATAATATAATAATTTATTATAAAATTATTATTATAAAATAATAATTTTGCATAAAATTACAAGATATTAAAATATTGTTCTTTTTTAAAATATTGTACAATATCTTTTTTATTAAGATTATTTAAATTAAAATTAATTAATTAAGTACAATTTTTCTTTATATAAAATGAATAAAGCCTAACGTTCAGTTTATATAATTTTAATTTAAACATCGTATAATATAGAAAAATGAAATCTAATATTAATTTTTTTATAATTTTCTGGATATTTTTACATTTCAGGTTTGTGCGAGGTAGAAGGAGGACAATCGAACATCATCCTCGATATTGAAGAAAGTAGAGGAAATGGTAAGTGCGATATGTTAATACAATTATTTTAATATATCATTTACTAAATATTTCTATTAATTAAATCTATTTATACATTCTTTTTTGAAAACATTGATTTTTAGAAAAACTTGATGAAAAATTTAATGATTTACAATTGAGAAACAGACGTCATTAAATCACAAATACATTTCTCTGATTTTTCTATTTCTTATGCAAAAGAAAACAACAAAATATACATTTCTATAACTGGAAGCAGCGTCTATTATGTTTCTAGTATATCGTTATATTTTTCCACATTGCGAACTGTATTTTGTTTGCCACGAGTTTATTCGATCTCAGATTTGACTGCACACCTTGCATTAGTTGTGTTGTAAATATGTTTTTGATAAATTTTCATGTTTATGTTCGCAAATAAATAGATTATTCCTCAAGAAGATTTGATTTTAAGATCGTGAATGTCACAATTTTGTTATTTCATTACGCGGAAATTACGTTTAGTAGACGATCGAGTTGATCGATAACTATCGAAATCAAGCCGAATCAATTTCTGATATTTTCGAGAAATTCATCTTTTACGTTCTGAAGATCTAAAAGACCTCGCTTTTTTCGATTTCACCGTATGCATAATGCACGATGATTTTATCGACGAAAGACTCTATTTTGACGAGAAGTAATTTCGTTATTATATCCCAAACGAATGAATACATTTATTCTACCGCGCATAATGCATTAAAGTGATTGTCATTTTATAAAAAAAGACTAAGGGAATATAAAAATGGATTGTATTTAATCTTTCCCGTCACTTAAATTTATTACACCTAATATTGGTTAATTTAAATTATTCCTTACTTTACAAAACAGGAAAGCCATATATATATATATATATATACTCAAGAAAAAAAGATTTTTTAAATAAATGCAATCTTTCTCTAAAGGTTAAAAATATTTAAAAGCAAATATAGTTCCTTAAAAGTTAATGCAATTGCTTTGCGATTGCTTTCAACATTTTTCTATACTATTTTATTATAAATAAAAATAAGATGCGAAAACCTTATGAATGGAAAAATTAAGATTAAAATATATGAATTCAATTTAATAGGAAAATCTCCAAGACTCGAAATTGTAAAGAACAATGTGTTAAATTCATTTTAAAAGATGGTATCTGTACAGTACAGTAATAGAAATTTTAATTAGTTTCTCGGTTAAAGAAAAGTAATTACACTGATAAAGAATGATAATTCAAATTAGAGAAAAGAAATATTCGAGATATAGAATAGTCAATACGTTGCAATTAAATTGTATTGGCTTTCATTAATGAGATGTTGCCTGAGATCAACATCAGCTCGCCAAGATTGCATTCATTATACAGAATGAAGATGGGTTGATCTTCGCTTGAGAGAGGAAGTCATATTATACAAGTAATAAAACAATTTCCTCGAAATGACTATTCATATCATCATATTAGATTATTTTTCACGATACTGATAATTAGTAGCTTTTTTGTATTTTTTGATCACATACAAAAATACATTAATTATAAATCTTAATCTCATTTTCTTTGATAATTATATTTTATAATTATATATACATATCTTTGATAATTATGTATATATTAAGCATTTATTAGAAGTTGCAATTTTTTTTATTATTTTTTATTATTTATAAAATAATTCTTTGTTTGATATTTGAAACAAACGATCAAGATTATATATTGCCCTGCTGGAGTTTGGTATATATTTCCAGTTTATTGAAAATTTCATTTACGCTGTCCCAGATATGAGATAAATCGATGTGCACGACGGTAATCGTCTTCATTGGTTATCCCTTTTCAGCGATCGATCAGAAGACCGTGCCGGAAGAGCTTCCGGTGTCCGGCGATCCTTATAACGAGACTATGCTGGAGCTTCTCTTTCCTGGAAAAGAGATCCCTCTTTTTAAATTGAACGGCAAAAAACTTCAACTTCTCAAGCCATTGGACAGAGACGACGAAAATCTCTCACATGTGGTTTTTCAGGTAAGAAATTTTATCTCGCAAGATTATAAGAACCTGCCTGATTTATTTAATTTCTAAAAAAAGATTCTCTGTAATGGACTAATGTTGCAGTTTCATAATGCTTAAAAGTGGAACAGACGTACCTACATTAAAAAATTGTTGCATGCGTTATTATAACGGTAGCGCTACATTCTCTTTATATATTTCTTTTTAGACTCCTTCAAGATTGAGAACCTTGTAGCCTAGATTTAATGTGCTTTCTCACATTTATATTTATGCATAATAATTTATAGTCGCGTACAAAACGACATCTATTATGATATTAATTTATTTTTTACTAATATTTTTCAAAATAATATTTTTTATTAATATATTTGAGTACACGAGATTGCTTTAAATTTGCATTTAGAAACTGAAAGAATGCGTTGTGCAAATGCCTATGTTGAAGGTTTAGATAAAAATTTACAGCACGTGTAACTATCAGTTAATGTGCACGTCTTCTTCCTTATTCGTCCATCCGAGAAAGTTTACGAGCAACGCATCGACGCAACGTGAATTATGGAATATCATTTAACAGCTTTCTAACGATAAAGTCACCTGGGGACCACCGCGAAACAAATTGCCACATTGAAAATCATTGACAACGGAAATTTCCGATAATAAATAACAAAGATGTGCGGAGAGAAACTCGTTACGCGCGGAAACTTCAGTCTCCTGCGCCTGATTTGCACTCTCTGATTATTATCCTTTGCGACAACTCGTCAAGCCTTCGTTTCTCTATTCGTTTTTGTTCGGTCGGAATTTTCACCGTCCTCGATATTGTCGATTAGATATCGTGGAAGAATGTTATGATGGAAATATGGGGTAAATGGAATGCTTCCATTATTCAGACTTTCAAACGAATATAACAAAGGATAATCTGTACTAACAAAGATAAAAATAATGCAGAGGGCAACTCATATAGAGAAAGATGTATCGTTATTATCCTTCTCAATTCTATACAAATATTAGAAGACAAGTAAATAATAGCTTTCACTTCGAGTCAGTGTTTTATAATCTTTACGATTGCAATAAAAAATTGTATTGTTCAGTTTCTTTCAAGTGAATTTTTTCTTTTTATATTGATTATTAAACGTTTAAACGTCTAATTCATCTCATCACTTAGCGCTTTTAAGATGAAGCCGTTGTCTTTCTACGCAAAAAACTTCCTCCATTTCTAGGAAGAGGATCTCTTGTCTGCCTGTAAAATATTTTATTATTTTCTTTACCGTTAACGAGTTGCAAACTTACTGCGAAAGCGGAAGCTAGCTAGCTTGGTCAAGAACTCTCGCGCTTCCTGCATTAGTTGTTAAATCGCACGGTTGTTAATAGATACAGTTTTATTTCCACAAAATTGAAATGAGAAGTATGATACTTTATTTTTAAAAAAATCTAAGTTAATTTTATGGAACATCTTTTCCCATAAATAATATACTAGCTATAAAAAAATGTATATAAAATATGTATATATATATATTAATTACTTCTTTATTAAAAAAAAATTTTTTTATAGCTAGTGTATTTATGGGAAAAGATGTTCCATAAAATTAATTTAGATTTTTAAAAAATAAAGTATCATACTTCTCATTTCAATTTTGTGAAAATAAAACTGTATCTATTAATAAATATATACTTTTAAAAATTTGTTAGCCTATACATTTCTTAAATGCATTTATAAAATTAATTTTAAATTAGTTAAATTATACGAAATTAATTTGCTCACTTATTATTGCACTCGCGATTCAAGGAGTTCTCTCTAGTGGCTCGTTCAGCATCCGCGAAACTGTACAAACACATTGTACCTTATGACACTATCATGTGAGGAATGTGAAAGGTCTAAAGTACCGCATCGAACACTTCAAGAGCTAGTACTGATCAAACGAGTAGATCTGAGACCAAGAAATGCAGATAGAGATGTAGAGATAAATTCGATTCAAACAGAAATGCGGAACATTTTGATTAATTTATAGAAACCTACATGAACGAGTAATTAAATCGATCGAAATAAACCAATTTCAGTGAAACCAATTATTTATTACTTTACCCAGTCGAAGGATATCGGTCGCTTTAGAAATAATTTTTTACACTTTATTTTTTAAAATTAATTTTGCGCATCTTTAATAGTAAACATTATTCAGTTTAATAATTTGTAAAAATTTTATAGTCATACAATAATCATCTTACCAAATATTTTAAATAGAAGTTATTTATAGGAAATAATTTTGTTTCACAATCTTAGTTTTTACAGTCCTGAACTTTAAAAATTCTTAAAAAAAAATAAAATTAATAAGAACTTGTGGATCTCAAAGAGAAACGTATATTCTTTTAGAATAAAAAAAATGTGTGTTTCACCCAGAAAAAGGTTTCTTTAACTCAAAGAAATGTTTCTTACACGGTTGAAGCAAAAATTTCTTTGATTTATAAAAAAATTATATTCAAATAAAAGAAATGACATTTAAATCAAAGAATTTCTTTAACCATATAGCAAAGAAACATTTCTTTGAATCGGAGAAACCTTTCTCTGAGCGTTCCGTTACAGGTTTGATTTATTAATATCATTTATAAATTCTTTATATTCCTTATTAAAATACTTTTTATGAAGTTCTTCTTCAGTAACAATTAAGCAGCATTTAACAATAAAACGAGCGATCAATGCCAAATTTTCATGTTCACTCTCCTATATGAATACTTATTTGTTTTTTAGTTGAGCTGCACGGTGAAGTTAACCAACAAAAAGCGGACGATCCCGATGATAGTGAGAGTGTCCGACATCAACGATAATGCGCCGAAATTCATTAACACGCCGTATGAGACCACTGTGCCAGAGGTAAGAGTTTCAAGGAGCTTCCTTCTCTTAAAGGAGAACTTTTGATTTTCATTTCCATCTCAATCAAATATACAACCGTAAAATATCGCTCGATTATCTTTCAACTCGCGTAATTAACTTCAATCGATATTTCTTCTGTTGGCAATTGATTTCTCACACTTGCAATAAAAACGGATGAAGCTGCCAGGTCGGGTGGGTGGAAAATGCGTTTTATATTAAGGAAATAATAGAACATCAAGCGTGAAAATGCGGGCATAACGCGGTAATTCACGGTATGCTCCGCGCTACAATAAATTTATACCTATAATGAGATGCGCTACGATGTACGGTATGCACGCGCAGTTGGAAATTTATACTTATAATGGACTGCGTGTTGTAATTATGCGTTTTAAATATGATGGAGAGATAAAGAGACTGCAGTTAACGCGAAAGTTTGATAATTATATTCCGGCAAGATAAGTATTAATCGAATGGTGCAGGAAATAAAGACAAATATTGCTATTGGAATTATTATGAGACTTCGTCGAAAAATAATAGCGTACACAAGAAGTTAAAGTTCCTATGCATCATGAATGTCATCGATTCTTCGAATATCCGGTTCTTCGATCGAGCGTAGCATCGGCGTTGTGCCACGACTTTCAAGGCGGACGTTTTCTATGCGTGACGGAATTTTTATAGAAATTAAAAGTGTGTCGAATGCTAGTCATTGACGCGAGTGTGGACGCTTTATTATCCCATTCTATCGTCGAGTCAGCGTGCGTCTTCGAAGAAAGTAGATTCGTCACGTCGCTAAGTGGATGGGAACTATTCCGAACATTGACCGACGTTGATGGTCGATCAGGGCTACGATCATCGCGACAATCTTTTCCTTCTTTCGCATTTGTGATCCGTTATGCCAAGAATGACATGCGCATTGAGCATTTCTCCTGAGATCTAAAAGGTATTGAATAGATCTAATAGGATAATTGAATGCGAGGGGAATAAATCGTTTTAAGTTCTCCAAAAATTAAATCTTCGTATGGTCTTTTGATTCCCCTTCCAATCTTCTTTTATTCAGTTAAATAAAATATAGATCATCAAAATGTTAATCATTGTTAGAATATATTTTTTTTCAGGCTGTATTGAGACGATTCTACGAAGATAATCCTAACTTGCTCTGGATTATCGTCTAATTAACGGAGCTTTTGTATTAGTTCTTACCGTGGAAACTAGCGAAATAGATGCTCGAGCCGTGAGCACAACCTTTGCTCCACCTGCCGTGCATAATTGCAGAATCGCGGGAGTTCCTCTAAGAAATCGAGATCGAGATTAAGATCGTCGGCTCGCACTTGAGTTAATTAATCCGCGAGGTAACCGGTACTGTCACGAGAACAAGCGAGAACAAGCGGTGATAATCGCTCTCGGAATAACAAAATGATTACGCCGGAAACGATCCACCTTCACTTTCTTACCTTTGCTCGTTTAGTGCCATCAAAAAACTGAAAATTAACTGCGTTGCTAAGTAAATGAGGGACGATAACTTCCTCGCCATCGTTAACGACCAGGATTATTCTGCTTGAATTGTTTCCGTGGGAACGTCATTTAGTCGGCTTATTCTTAATCCTGAAGACATGTTAATTAACTCTCTTCAGTATTTCTCAAGTATTGTATGAATATATACCATTCGCTGCCATCATTCTTACGTTACATTTACTACAATTGAAGATAAAGATGTTGAGTCATTTTTTAAAAACCTGTATTATAAGAAAAAGCCGTTTTTATCGTTACATTTATTACGAAATATGGAATTCGTATCCATTTAACGTCGTGGCGATTTCTGTAGGTAGAAATTTTTATAAGTAGTAGTCTTTAAAATAGAGTTCTGTTATTCTATCTTATAACAGAACTCAACTCTTTAAAACAGACACGCTGACCGAGGGCAGTATTTTGAAGGAGGTTCCTGATCCCGTTAGATAAGCTAAGATGCAGCGAATATTGGCGTGAAGCAACAAGGAGGAGCTGACCGCCGTGAACGAGAATATTATACGTTCCGGTCGCGCCGCACAGTAGTCACCGACTTATCTCCACGGATTAATCGGAAACGCGCGCGGCTTTCGTCGGTGTAAAAAGCCTTTGAATTATTTTCGCGTAATCCCCAACGAGGTCTCGCCCTTATACTCTGTAGTCGTCCGATCCTCTCGCTCACGCAGGTTGCACATCCCGCGCGAACAACCTGCTTGACCTGTTCCAACTCGGTGTATTCCCGATCGAATTATTAATCCTCGACGACCGGACTCGTGTCTGACCCCGTCGGCCTTCAATTAACATCCCTCTAAAACTTCATAAAGCATGCTGCATAAATTTAATCCCGTTCGATTTCAAGGAATACATATCGTCCTGCGATTTCTCAGCACAGCTGGAGGCGCGGAAGGAAAGTCGTGATTTCCACTTCGGCTTGGTGCATTTCCTCCTTAGCGAAAGATGAATTATTATGCTGTCTTTACATAATTCGTAAATTGCAAAACGCAGTTCGTGAACGCAGATACAAAATGAAGATTTGCGTTTTGCGAATAGCGATCTATATAGACTAAACTGAACTGCTACATTAACTTTTATACTGCGGCGACTGAGTTGATCAATGGCAGAGTAGAAAAAAATAGCGGAAATGAATTTTATATTATCAACAGAGGACTATTCTTCTTAAATAAATTTTGTAATACGGAAAATATCAGACACATAGTTTCTTTAATCTAACTTAAATTAAAATATAAACGCTTTAAAATGTCAATGCGCTGCCAAAGTTCAATTTAATGCGTGCGGTTGGTTTGTATTTGCATGTATAATCTTGCATGCGATATTATTTTTTGCGCTGCGTTTTTGTGAACTACATTTTGCAATTTGCAAATTACGTAGAGGCAATTTTATATTGAAAATATATATTACATTAAGGCTAGTTCCAAAATTTCCTATATAATAGATGTAACGTATACATAACATATAAAATAAATCTTCCTCGGAGAGGAAGTTTTGGAACATAGCCTAAATATACATATATATTATGTACTATCATATAATCTGCATACTGCACATTGTTTATTCGCAGCTCACTCCAGTCGGTTCGACAATCTTCAAGAACGTCGACGCAAAGGACGCCGACGCCGGTGTCAATGGTATTGTCGAGTACTCGATTGCACCTGGCGATGGCAGTAGAATTGGTAGCAACGAGGGTGTTGGGCGTAACAGGATCACCACCGTCGATGGATACGGCTATTTCAGCATCAACCTGCCGCACCAGGGACAGGTCACGGTCAATCGAACACTTGATTACGAAAGGACTCAACGTTATCTTGTCACCATCTTGGCATCGGTGAGTTCGATCTTGTGCTAATCAAGTAATCACGTTAATTGATCGGAATTGCGAATGAGTTCAAGATCGGTGATACTGACGTAAGAGCTAAGATAAAGACGCAGATCTATCAAGACTTAATTAACGCAACGATTAATTAAGGGTTCGTAAGAGAAATACGATCAGCTGATTCCCAAATGAGAATGTCGTTTGACGTAAAATAAAACAATAAAAAATTAAAAGCTTGTCACAGAATAAATGGCTTTACATAAAAAATAGTGTTATAATTTATAAAAAATAATTATTATATAATTTATCTTTATCAAATAAATATCTTCTCTTTATAAAAATAGAAGAAACTTTATTTTGTCTAAAGTCTTCTAGTCTGCCAATCTAATTATTTACGTATTTTGCAATTTTTTAAATACTTGTTGGTCATGTTGCTGTACATGGAAAGTATGGTTTTGCTTAAGTATTCAAAAATTAGCTGGATACAGATTTGAAAATAATTTTGTTGGCTATTATCAGAATAATTATACAGAACTGTCCTATGAAACTGGTTGTTAGAATGTTAAATGTTTTCCAGCTTTATCATTAACATTTAAACATTCTACATAATTCTTTTAATAATCCAACAAAATTATTTTCAGATTTGTAGCAAAACTGTTCTTCCTGTGCGTGTATATATACCGTTGCAATACCTGTCGTAGAGTATGATAATCGAGTATAATGAGCTCGACTAACGATACATACGATTGCGCTACGCGACATCGAGCTGAAAACCTGTACGACAGCAGTAGAAAATTCTTGTACAAATAACGAGAAAATAACGGTAATCATTTAATGATTTACATGCCTAGTAAATTATTGCGTCGTCTAAGATAGATCAGGTTTTATTTGACAGAAAAAAATATTGACAGAACGATAATTTTGCGCGAATAACAATGAAATGTGATAAAAATAAATATAACAATTTTTTTAGTACTGTCTACTCTGATAATAAAATTATTGTTGTAAAATTATTATTATTGTTACAAGAAATTTACTAATTTTATAAGAATTAATTTTACGAGAATCTTATTGTTATAAGATTTTACAATTAATAATTCTTTCTAGAAGAGAAACCTTTCTACTGCAAATTGATTTGTAGACGAGACAGAGTTCTTTGACGTATTGTCCAAGAACTTCAATGTATACATATATATCGTATGTGTCATCCACGTAGTATTTACGTTATGTAACGTTCATACACCTGTTGCGAGCGATTCTTGAGGTTGTGCTGCTTTTCGATCGTTTCTAACGTTCATAGCCAACACGCGCATATAATAAGCACTCTGCAACGACGATCTAGAGCATTTTTAGTACCGTAGTTGAATCTTTAGTTTACGAGCATCGATTTTGCATCAATCGTCTTCCTGCAATTGCAATCGAATATGCAATTGAATCTGCTAGTGTAAGTTAATTGGTTTATAAATGCGAGTGTTTCCTTTATTTAATACGCCACGGATGAGTATGAAGCGAATCGACAAAATGTGGGATGGTCAGGTCGCGTGGGTCGAGGGATGAGGACAGAACAAGAGGCTGACCGATGAATCACAACTCTGACTACCCGTGCGACGGTTGGAAAACTATATTTGCATATGCATTGGCATATAGCGCTTCTCGTTTACGCAACTTCCCTTGAGTGTTATTTGTCTGGCTCTCTCAATTCGAAACGCAATTGAGACGCACCTTTCTGCACGATACTTCTTCACACGAATTCCTTTTTTACCCTTTCCGGGTTTGAGTTTGTCTTAAAATACAAGATATCATCCAAGAGAGTATCAAACAATTTAGCGATATATTATTTAATCAAACCATGATTCCTTTTCCAGCAAAATATAAAATGTTTGTACGTCGCATTTTTATTTATTCCTTTATAATTTTTAATATTAAAAATATTTACTCCTTTATAATCTTCAATATTAAAAACAGTCGTGTGTTTATACACACTGAAAAAGTGATTTGATGATTAAACTAACAAAAAAACCCAAGAATTTTAATGAAACTAAACAGAATTTCTGATCAACTAGAAATTCTGTTTAGTCTCATCTTGTTGGACTTTTTGTTGGTTTAATTAAAACTTTTTTCCCAATACAGATTTTGAATTGATTCATTTTGTCTGGGATCGAGTAAAGAGCATAAAGAAATATATGAAAATTACATAAAATTTTATTTCACTGCATGGAAAGGACTGAAGTATTTAAAAACTAGATATAACTGAAAATAACTTTATTGGAATTTTATTGGGGAAAATAATTATGTAGGACGCTCGAACTGGTTGCTAAAACTTTTTGCAACATCGCTTTTCATGCTTGAGATTCCTACGTAATTACTTTGATGATCCAATAAAATTATTTTTAGATTATCTAACTAAATTTTTAGATATTTCAGCAAAACTATCCTTTTATTTGTAACCATCACGCTTATATATATATATATACATATATATATATATATATATATACATATATATATGCAGTACAATTTCAGCTACCCTAATTGCTCATTTGCGAGAAATAAGGTCGATGAATGTTACCTATGGGAAGCGACATACATTACAGCAATATTCCTGAATTCCTCCATTTGTATTATCCACTGAGGGATACTTCAGCGGTAATTCACACGCGAATATATCGCAATAATTCTGAAGAGGACTTTAGCATTCGCGCGCATGCATAATTATATGCGCAGCGCGACGAACGCGCATGCAACATACATGCTTCGTTACGTGCACACGATCCTCGTACGAAACATGTCCCGTGTGCTCTGTCGCAGATTAGAAACTGATATACGTACAAGCCTACAGGCATGCATTCGCTAAACGGTATTACAACCCAATGGCAATGGCACCACACTGGCCAGGTAGATACATGTTCGATCTTTTTCACGTCTAATGATTTTAATGGTACTAATCGATTCTGCGGTTTCGCACAAGTGCGCAAACAGCGCACGACAGACTAGTCGTTAATTACAGTTACGCGCCCGGCTTAGATAATCCATGTCTAAGTAATTAATTACTTCTATCAATCGCGTATTTAGAAGCGTGCTGTGTAGAGATATTTCAAACGTACATAAGAGGTATTTCAAGCGTGCTGTGTGAATATTGCAGATAAACAAGGAAAATGTGCAGCTTATATGAAACTTTATGAGTTGTTTTAGGTTTTGTCACTTCGTTTTCCATCTCTACCAAATTATTACTAATTTACAATAAAATTAAGCTTTTCCTGGTAGAAATGTTGAGATAAAAGTCACTAAGTTATGAATATTTATTCTCATAAATTAAAAGACAGAAATAAATAACAGTGCCTTATTTTTCATTTAACAAAATATTTGTAAGTTGATAACCTTATCTAAATTAATCGAGAAATCCATAGATAAGAAATGAATGCAGAAAAAGTAATACTTTCAGTATATCTCACATAATGATCGTTTAATGGTAATATTGGTGATTCACAAGCCAATCAGGATAGAGTAGGTAGGTAGTTTGCAGATAACAACTTGACTACGATATGAGAGAAGTTGCGATATTTCCGATGCAAAGTTTTCGCACAATCTCGCGGTCAGGGCAAATTCACCGAACAGACCGGCGAAATAGAGAAAGGATCGCATGTAACGGTAATACTGGTGCGGAATAACACAATCTTTCCGTTTGATACACGCGCGTAGTATCGTTTGCGGTACCGTAAGGCATTAACCACTCACCCCGCCAGATTAAAGGCCGATTGCCATGCCGTTGCTTGTAGCTATTTGCATATCGCCCTGCCGAACTCAACATTGTTCGGCTTATAGATAACACGGAGGCCGTTGCTGCCGGATTAGAACTCGCAAATTGCGCTTCTCGTGTCCGCAATGGATAACAAAGCAATCGATATCGCGACACTTATCGGCCATGTACGCGTTGTAATCCGAACTTTCTGCTGGCGAGAATCAGGTTGTAACATTGTCCTCATAAAGATATTGCAATATGATTCGGCTGCCTTTTAAACACTCATACTTATTCATCAAACAATAGATTTAGATTCTAAAAAATATAAATCAAAAGAATGTAAAATATTCTTTAAATCTTTAGAGCGGATCTTCATCCTAAAGAGTGAAAATTAAGCCAGCCTTAAAAAAGAGTGGCTCAATTTTCTATCTTTAAGAGTGAGATTTATTCTAAAATCTGTTTTACAGAGTACCTATAAGAGCCATCACACAAGATGTGTGAATAAATTTATTTATTTATAAAAAAACATATAAACGTTTCGATTTTCATTGTGGGTCATTTTCAGCATATAAAATTCATTAATAATAACATTCGTACAACTTATAAGCATAATGATAGGATGATGATGCAAATCGTCCTAGAAAATGAATTGAGGTGCCTAGTCAATTAATTAAATATTGCAAAAGCTCAGCAATAAATTGAACAAGTCGGTCATATAAAATATGTAGTTTCACCACATACATGACTTGTCCACAGATGGTCAGCATTGAATTTAGATATATCATTCATTAGAATGATGATGTGTCAAGCTAACGATTATAGTGTCTCCTATAAATTCTGCAATCTTTTTAAATCTATTATTGCATCTCATTAGCCGACAGATCATTAATAAATAAATAATAATGATTGACGAAATTTATTCCATTTTAGAGAAGAAGAAAGTAGTACTACAGCAAATTGTAAAAGTATAAATCTAGTATAAACGGGGGAAAATTTTTTATTTAAACAGCCTTTTTTATATATAACAAGTATTTTAAATTTTGTGAACCAAGAGAATAGTATGTAGTATAAAATAATAATAATTGTAATTATTTAATTGAAATTTAATAATGGTAATTATGTAAGCCGTACAAAAATAGGATTTGCGGCTCATGATTGTAATTTGCCGACTACTAGATCAAATCTAGAGTGAAGAGAAAATTCCAAGTAGACGATGCAAGAGTCATTTCGAGCGGTATGATCTAGCGTACTTATGACCGTTAACGCAACCGCT